AAACTTTGACAATAATGGAAAAGGCTATAATTTGATAAAATGCTAAATTAAATTAGAATAAAGGTTTATAAATTGTAATTGCATGCTGTGGTAATATAAACATTTATATTCATTATTTTCTGTCTCCTGTCTGGTGTCAAGATTCTGTAGCAACTATGCCAAAAGCGTAATTGGTACTTCCCAACTGAGCTGAGTCATCGTTGTTAAAATAAACAACAACCCACCAGAATGAAAAACTGGAAAACAATCCCCAACCATCAATTGCAGTAATTGCCCATTACCCGAACCCCCTAGTCCTTATGCACACACAGCATCGGCTTGCTGACCTTTGATTTCTCAAAAATGCTGAAGAGAATGTACGCTTGTTACAACTTTCTGAAAAAATTAGTATCTGGTAAAAGATGTTTGTTTCACAGTGTTTGCTAACACATCAAAGATTGATAACATCTACAGTTATCATACATCAGTACCCTCCATCCACTAGATGTCTTACAAAGGCAAAGTTTTATTGATTGCCCCTCTGTGGGAAGCACAACCGTGGACACAGTATAATCTTCACTGGTGTCCTCATCCACTACCATTGTCAGGGAAGAACTTCAGGAAACTAATGGACTGTGTCACAGAATACTTGTGTCTATGTCAAAGGACATTGACTTTCTACCATTGGCCAGTATATGGTTAAAATACCAAAAATTCATCAGAGAGACAAGACTCAATTTGCCTCTTATTTATTCCATTCACAATTTGCTGGCACCACCTACTATTTCTTGCCATATAGCAGCAATCACATGTCCACTAAGATATGCCTTTGGAATCTCCTATGGATGTGCTTCACAAAGCAATATTCTTTGTTGCTCTTGCCACAGGTTTGTATGTTCCTCAACTGGCAGCCCTATCACGTTCTCTGACAGTTTGGTCCAAATAATTCATGTCTCATTTACTTCTCATCCTCTTTCTCTAGTAAAAAATGAACAGCAATGACATGTTCCGTAACATAGTAATTCCATCATAGTTATAAAATGATTCCTCTCATGTTTTATGCCCAGTAGCAGCTTTGAAATGTTAGATAGAAACTACCACAGCAGATTTTAATGAGGCATTATGGTGATGGCCAGATTCACTTAGGCCATGCACCCAACTTCATGTAGCCAAGATATTTAGAAGGATAATTGAATCTGCTTATCCAGGTCATGCTCCAACAGCTCACCAAGTTAGGAAGTATGCTTCTACTCTCACTTTTTTAAGAGAAGCAGGTCAGTGATCTTCATGCAGATCTTTTGTTAATCGATACGTGACATCGCATCTACAAGACGTACCTTGAGTGGTAATGACTACACCACCTAATCAGGTATCTCAATAAGTGGATACTAATAGTACATTTTTTTGCTTTCTTTTTTGAAGTTCCTAAATTTTGTTCCCCATATTCAGTTCCTATTCAGCATCTTGACACCAGACCAGAAAGACAGAAAATAAGACATCTGACAGATTGAAAATGTTCTCTTTCTGTCTTCAAGTCTGATGTCAAGGGTTCCCTTACATCCTTTATTTACAAATTTTCTTTACATCTGGGGAATTACAGCAATTGATGGTTGGGGATTGTTCTCCTGTTTTCCTTTCTGGTGGGCCATTGTTTATTTTAACAATGACTCAACTCAGTTGGAAAATACTGATTATACCTTTAGCATAGTTGCTACAGCATCTTGACACAAGTCCTCCAAGACAGAAAAAGAACATTTTCCATGCATCAAATGTCTTATTTTACAAAATAAGAGGAATAAGAATAAAAAATCACAATTCATTTTTTATTAATAAAAAGGAGCTTACATGCTAAGCTTCATTTAGCACTTTGAGGCTTTTACATATAATCGTGCGACACAACTCTCTCCTTTGTTCTTTATCACTCGCATATAACCCAACCACATTTAACACCATTGTAGCAGGCCAACTATGGCCTGCACTAATGAAGGTAACTTAGCTTACCAATTCTGTGCAAAGAGAGAGCAAGATTTCTTCAGTCATTGCCAATACAGTTGAGGTCAATATCTTAAACATCTTATTTTAATATTTTTAAAAACTAATTAAGTATGGAAAACATTCTAGGTTAATAATTTATTTTCACTAATAATAAATTAGCCAATCCTGTTTCACTAAACACCAATACATGTGAATCACTGTATCAGATGCACAAACGTGTAACTAAAATACGAAAAAAAATAAATGTTAAACCATAAATTAATGGTATGTCATTAAATATTGCAACCATTACTAAAAATAATAAAAATCATTCTCACCTCTTAAGACAAAAATGTCAGTTTTTTTTTTCTCAAGTGCACTAAAGTTGTACATGACCCAACATATATGTATAAAATACTGAAAATAAAAGAATATTCAGACAATTGTCCTCATGCCACAAATGTGATTAAAAAGATAATAAAAAAGATAATAATAAAAAAAAAAAATAATAATTACATTTATGAACTAATAATTCACATTCCCAAATGGTATTTGTGGCTCATTTTCGTTAAATTCATATTAATAGTGTCAACATTCTTGAGTAAACAAAAAGCAATAAATGAAATATGGAAATTCTCTCAATGCCTACTTAAATTATATCATGTTATTTTGGAATGTACCCATTTTCTTTGTGAAAGGAAATATCACATGTCCATTTTCTAGTTTTAAAAATAGCAAACAGCAGCCACTACAGAGAAAAAAGAACAGCTACCCTTTCATATCATTACAAAAGTAATAATTTGAAAATAAATAAAACAATAAGGCTGCCAATTTCCATTTAAAAATAAAACAGAAGTAACACATAAGAGCAGTATACATTTATGCCCTTTTCTGATTATCATAACGGATTACAGTAAGTACAGATCTCTCACATCTTTGTAACATGAGCTCTACAGATGCACTGATGCACACCCTCAATTGCAAATCCAGTATACATTCGCATTATTTCATTCAATCACCCACAAACTTACATTTACACTTACTTACACCCATACTCACTTATAACATTCACTCACTCACAATCACATTCACAAATAATACAAACTCATACAGATACAAAATGACACCAAATATTTTTTTATAATAAAACTTAGCAACCATTAGTTTCACTTTAAAATACATTGCAACTTTGTAAATAACTTGCCACTTACAAAAAGTTGAACTGTGTACCACTTACATTTTCAAAAAAGGAGAAAAGTAACCACTGCACCATAAATAAGGATACCATCAATACTCTCAAAATAATAATACTATGTGCAATCCATACAGTCTCTGGAGTTTACCTACTGTATATTTTTATCATGGTTTCCTTAGCATTCAGTTACTGAGGTATAAGTCTATATTAATAATACAGTCAAAGTTTAAAAGAAGAGCAGAGAGCAGTATAAATAAAAGGGTTCAGATCTATTCCTTGGCATCTGTCTCGAATATACTAAGCTTAGGAGGATATGTTCATTATTTTGGAATGCTTATATTGTGACTTTGAACTGTTAGGAAAAGAGGGATACATACATGAAGATATAATTTCACAAAACAATTCATATATGAAGAAACCTGTGGTTATATACAGAAACAATGATTTACCATTCATTACAATTAAAAAGAAAATTAATTATGTCATTTCAACTGTCTAGATTCAAAATCTTTGATTTTGTTTGTTTTTGAAGACAGTCTTTATTCCACTACAAAAATAAATAATATCTACTCTCACCATAGAGAAGAAAAATGTACCTATGGCACAACTACACATAAGGAACATCATGTAAAATACTGCACAGCTGTCTTAGGAAATAATTTCCTTGTTAACTTAAAAGACTTACCAGCATTTGCAATTACTCCTTTATGAGTGCTAAGGACTTCTATGTCATATTGACCTCATGCTCACACTACCTACACCTAGCATAATGTTTCACTTATCACGGAACTTCATACTAACATTGTTCACAATGTGCTATCATTCTATGTAAGAATTATCCCCCAAAATGGAATAAAAATTAGGAGTACAACCATAAAAAAATGCAAAATTGCACTTCCATCTATTAAACTATGTACTATTTAATATTGCAGACATAATGCAAAATATAAATGCAACCATAAGAGCTGTGACTTAAAACACAAGAAACAGAGCTAATTGCATTATTCCCATAAAATATAACACATTTTCATAAAATACCAACTTTGAGCAATTAATAATCTCAGTCATCATGAAACAATGAAATTTAAATATTAATACAAAATGGGTAAACCACTGTATAATGCAATACCCACTAAATTAGAACTTCTCATGATCATCACTGATCACCCAAGAAATGTATTACCCAATCCTCACAACTGAAATATAATCAATTATATATGTGAATATCTGTACTACTTACCTTAATAATTAGTAAAAATTATACCTGTGGTAAAATTGGAGAGAAGATAAAAGGGAAAAAAAATATCACAAATCAATCCTAGTCAGATGTATTCTCTGACCTACATCTAAGCTCATTTGCTTTATCAACCTGATTTGTGGAACTCCCTGCAACAGCACAGTCCTCTGCACAAGTCTCTCCTGCCAGATATGCTACAGCAGCCTCTTCAAGCTCTTGAGGGGACATGACATACACAACTGTCCGTGGAGGCGACACGAAAGTCAGTTTCCCCTTCTTGCGAGGTGGAACCTTCCTCACTGGGTTTTCCAACCATGAGGGAATGTGTCGTGTCCTGCTCTCCATGGTCTGGTCTCAAGACTTGTTTTAAGGAAAATGTCTGATTACCTCAAAGCACTATCTGATATTAGAAATTACTGATACTGTTAAATATTGAAAAAAGGAATGTGTATAAATCTCTCTCTATGTATACCTTTCCTTTTCAGTCTCATGGAAAAATTACTGTGCTATGGTCAGTATGATACAAAAATATGACTTCTTAAAAGGAGTTGACAGGGTTCAGGAGTTGTTGAGTAGATACCTCTCTTTTCATCTCACTGGCAGAAACAAAAAATAGTAACACAAAATAGAAATTAGAAAAAAAATCCAATGTCCATCTATAAATTGCCATTCTCAATTTTCTGTATATATCTTGAGGCCTGCCTCAACATATTTCATGATTTGTTATACTGCCTATCATATTCCTACCAGTGCAAGTGGTAATGCTTAAGAATGACATAAATAAATGCATTGAGTTTATGTCAACAGCAAAATTGACAAATCACAGTTTCATTTCTAAATATTGCCATACTCTAAGCTGGATTCTGAGGAAGACGGTGACAACTGTGGGTACTGCTCTGGCACGGGATGGAGGTAAGGATTTGGTCGTCGTATAGGAATTCCATAGTAATCATCTGTGTCTTCAGCAGAGGTATCTCCACCACCCCAATCCAGGCCAGTTGCTGCTCGTTCATTGATCAATTGTTTGAATTCTTGAATTGACTCATTGAGGGACCACAACTGACAAAGAAGTGACATATCCAGTTGACGTAACCCAACCTGGAAGATTTGAACATTTGTCATTACAATTGTCAATAATGATGCTTCGTTACTCGGCTAATGTCTGGCATAACAGCAACTCGGTGACTGTTGGTTTGAAAATATCTATTTTTTCAGGAATGACTATCTGTTGTAATCAAAGCAAAACCCAAATACAGTATATTTCATACTGATTCATAACTCACCATTTCCTTCCTGAGAACAGCCAGCTGAGAATCGAGCGTGGACGGTCTGCGATGGTGGTGCCTGGTGGACCCCCCGCCACCCCCTCCTCCCCCGCCACCCCCATGGGCGGGGCTCACCCTGGGGTTCATGACGCCCGTGATGGAGCCGGGCACCGGGGGACTTCCTCGAGGGCTGTGCGTCTGCGTCCTGCTACCCCCCGATGAGCTGCCGCCGCTGTGGTGCTGGTTCCGCGGGGAGGACGAGTGGCTGCGCGGGGAGGACCGCGGGGAGAAGCCACGGCCGTCGCCATGCTGTGCTGCGGTGCCGTTGGCGTAGTACGGCTCGAAGGCACTGGCGCCGTAGCCCACGCCGGAGTAGTGCGAGCGCGCTGACTCCGGCCGCGAGTCCATCCGCGACTCCGTACGGGAGTCCGCTCTAGCTGGCGGACTGTACCGATCTCCGCCTCCTCCCGGGGACATGCCCATGCCCCCGCCTCCCCCTCCGTCCTTGTTATTCATCATCCCTGCTCCTCCGTCTCTCCGCCCCGCGAAGTTGATGAGCCCGCTCAGGCTCTTGGGCAATGGGGGGAGGCCTTGAATGCTGGTCATCCTCGAGTGTTCTGCGGCCACTCGCGACGCCTACACTTCCACCCGTCGTCCGACCAGACGATAAGTTATCATGAATTTCTACCTCGTATTTCTTTTTTTTAATCTTAAATAGCGATTTACTCTTTGATTCTTGTTTTTCCGCTTCTGCACTACCAACTCCTGAACCCTGCCAACATCGCAACGCTCACACACGCGCCATCAGAAAGCTCACGCGCGCATGTATAAATGCATAGTAACAACCGTGGTTCCCATTCTCGTCATGCATTGAAACATTAAGCACAGTCTAATATCTACGTTAGTTTCTGTTTAAATAACAAATGTTGATAATTGCGAGTGTTCTTGTTCCTTTCTGGAGAACCTGAAATAAATAGAAAAGAAAACAAAATTAGATCCAAAATAAAATACAAAGTATTAGAATTACACTTCACTTGCCTAATCTTGGCTGCTACTAAAATAAATAGTTTTCCGGTGGATTACAAGCACAAGCACACGTGCATGCACGTGCATTCGTCAGCACACTGCAGTAGCAACACCGAAAGTTTGTGTATAATTCCTATAGAAGAAACACTCAAAACATCACGCGGGTCACGAATAAAAGACATCCAGTTTCCTTCAGTCGCGACGAAAGCCAACTGAAACGCATCGCCACGACGCCAAGAACAGCGACGACCTCCTGACACCGCGGACGCCAGGACTACCTCGGCGTTGCTGCTCCCTCCTCGACGGCATCCCCTACACTGCCTCCCCTCAGCGTCGCGGGAGTCACTCTAGTGGTTGTGTGGGGGGCTCCTTCCCCTCCTCCCCACCCCCCTCCTTACTTCCTCGCCGCCTCACCCCTTTCCTGCCTCAAGGATTTAGTGGTATGGTCGCTTGACTTCTTTTGGTCCATCAAAATCGGTGATGAAGCACTTTCATCTATTTTTTTCCCTCTGACTGCCTGCATGTACGTCTGTATGTTTGTCTGTGTGTTTATATGTTTGCTTGACTGACTGACTGACTGACAGCCTGACTGACGGACTGACTGACAGCCAATGACTTCCCCTCTGTCTCTGCCACTCCTTCTCCCTTTCCCTCTTCCTCTCCCCCTACTTCTCTCTTCTTTCCTCCCTCTCCCCATCTCTCCTCCTCTCTTTTCTCCCATTCCCATCCTTTCTCCCTCTTATCTCTTCATTTCACTTCCCTTCATTCTCCCGCAGTCCTCCATTCTCTCTCCCCCTCTCCCTTCTTCCCTCTTCCCTTCCTTCTCCCTTATTCCCTCTTCCCTTCCTTTTCCCTTCTTCCCTCTTCCCTTCCTTCTCCCTTCTTCTCTCTTTCCTTCCTTCTCCCTTTTCCCTCTTCCCTTCTCCCTTCTTCCTTCTTCCCTTCCTTCTCTCTTCTTCCCTCTTCCCTCCTCCATTTCCCTTCTTCCTTCTTCCCTTTCTTCTCTCTTCTTCCCTCTTCCCTCCTCCATTTCCCTTCTTCCTTCTTCCCTTCCTTCTCTCTTTTTCCCTCTTCCCTTCCATCTCCCTTCTTCCCTCTTCCTTTCCTTCTCCCTCCTCCAGGTTAGGTGGTGTTGGTTGGCGGTGGTGGTGGTTGATGGAGGTGATGATGGTAGTGGTGGTGATGATGATTGGTGGTAGTGATATTGGTGGTGATGGTGGCGATTGGTGGTGGTGATGACGGTGATGGTAGTATTGGTGATGGTGAAGGTGGTAAAGGTAATGGTGATGATGGTTGTTGGTGGTGGTGATGATGGCGGTGGTGGTGACAGTGGTGGTAATGGTGATAGTGAAGGCTGATGAACGAAGACTGCTATAATGAATGTTGTGATAGTGACTGTAGCTAGCGTAGATATGATGGTCTCAACAACGATTGCGGCTGGACTGGCACAGCAATGTCAATGGAATAGCGGTGATAGTACTCAAGTCATTAATTAAGACGTGAACCAACAAGAACAAATAATCAGTGAATGAATGGATGAATGAATGAGCACGTGAGCTGCCATACGGTTTCGTCATCACGACCCTTCCCCCCCCCCCCCCCGCTCCTCCCATCCTCAGTCTCTTCAGCCTCACAATTGCTCCTCATTAGTTTAAGAACGCCGCCAAAACAATGAATAAATATACCCCATATGCACATGTTATTTTTTATATTTTTCTCTAAAGGTCCTTTCCTTTTTTTTCCAACTCCCTTTCTTTTCCTTTCTCCTCAGTCCCTCTCCCTCTCACTTTATTCATCCATTCATTCATTCATTCATTCACGTACTTATCCACCCATTTCCTAATTCCCTCGGCAACGTACCCACCTCCACATTCATTCTCCCACTCATTCACTCACTTGTGCATCCACACAGTCCATCACTCACCCCTCATCTCCCATGCACCTAATCACTCACTCACTGAACCACTCGCTAATCCACTCATATTTTGCCACTCCCTCACTTGGCACAATTACTCTAATGGCAAGAAAACATTCGCCTCCCTCCCCCCCCTTTCGTCTTCTCCTTCCCTTAATCATAATCTATCTGCTTCCCCTTCCCCTTCTCCATCTCCTACCCCTAACCCTTCTCCTTCCCTTACCCCACCGCCCTCTTCTCCTCCTCTTACCGCCCTTTCCCCTCTTGCCTTCGCCCCTCCTCCTCTCTCTCTACCCCCAAACCCCTCTCCCTCCTCCCCGCCCGTGCGAGTGACGAAACGCCGCCCGCGCCGCGTCCATCGACCGGCCACACAACCTTAGCCGGAGTGTCATGCTTATTAAACACCCTGGGAAACCTGCCTTGCATGACACAAGGGGAGGGGAGGGAGGGGGGCGGCGGGGTGTTGTAAGGGGCGCGGGATGGGAGAGCGGAGGGGGAGGGGCGTATGTCATCTGTGCAAACGCGCTCGACTCCGACTTGGTTTCGTTAAGGTCGAGAGGACCGTCTCGGACCTATGCTGATGTCGACCTTAAATCTCCATTTTTTTCCTTTCTTTCTTCTTCGTGTTCCTCTTCTCTGAGCACCTTTAATGCGGCTTGTCAAGGTTGTCTACGATTTGTTTATTTGTTGTCGTTGCTTCAGAGGAGATATCTGGCGAGGAGAACGTAGACGACGAACACAGAATAATGAAGGGGATAGGGAGATTTTTTTTTTTTATTATGTAATTCCTGTGACAGAAATAGCATGAGGGACAAATGCAATAAAAGCAGGGTACGCAGGCTGGCTACTTTCCCCATGCGAAAGACTCCCGCCTTGTTGGAGAGCGTGAACTGCCGCGCCTTCGAATATCTGCAGGCGACTAAATGGGAAAGACTAGTGGTGAGCGTGATGTGGGCATTTTCGCAGACGCCCCATGATTCAAAAATAAATGACTTTCAAAACGAATGAACCTGGATAAAAGAGCTTTAATCCTCGTCACAAACAGCGCTAACAGAGCCCTATGCAGCCTACGCAACATTCGCCCACGAACTTGAATCCCGGAAAATCCCAGCCACTTGAGGACGCCATGAGGAAAACGTTGATCCCGGCTCTTTCGAAAAATCACACGTACAACGCCCAAGACAAACATGAACACATCACGCCCAGGAGGGGATGCGCATCGCACTCCTCGTGACATCAGCACACTAGCAAAGAGGCATCAGATCTCTCCGACCGAGCATCAGCTTGGAACTCAATACTTGAAACTGGGTAAACACTTGGGAATCAAATCAACACTTTAAATAGACTTACGAGACGATTCCGCCTCGTCTGCCACGCGAATCAATTCAGAAGGTAGAACTGATTAACAA